AAGAGGGGACACATGTTGATGTAGAAGAGACATGGAGAAGAGGGGACACATGTTGATGTAGAAGAGACATGAAGAAGAGAGGACACATGTTGATGTAGAAGAGACATGAAGAAGAGGGGACACATGTTGATGTAGAAGAATGCAATACATTTCATTGCTTATTTTAACATCGCCTCAGGAACTCACATCCTTGAACACACAACAGGGTGTAGCGCACTCTTTATGGTTCCATAGAAAGCTCTTCCTACCAACGTGTCCATCATTCAACTGTTTAACAAATTCAGCTAGGAGATGTTGTGCGTCATCGTTAGGATTTGTAAAACAGTGGAGTTTTCATCAGGATGCTTAGAACAGTCTTGTAATACCCCAAGAACAGTCATAAAGGTTGTTAATATATATATATATATATATATAGGTGTGTGTGTTTTTAGAAACTCGGATGCTTATCTCTGTTATATATATATCTGTAGCCTGTTGGTCATACATCTACATATGGCTAGTTCAGTATGCTGATATCAGAACAAAACGTGTATCACATAAATAAAAGCTGCCTAAGATGTGTTAGAAAATCAGTAATATCTTTAAAAACGACAAGTCCCTTTCTATCAGCTGTGCACCGTTATGGTGTACATATAACCTGTTCTATTTCCAGTTTAACAACGTATTTGCCAGGGAAAAAGTTAAGTGGCATGGTGGGTTTCAGTGGCATACAGCAGGGAAATATGCCTTTAAATAATTGTTAGGTGCATTTCAATAATTGTTAGGTGCCGTAGAGCTTCGATTATTTTCATTAACATGTTTTTATAAAATGTCGGAAAACAGTGAAACATTTCCATCCCAGTTTCTCAAAGTGCAAGAAATTGTGTTTAAATATCTTTAAATATCAGTTCAAAACACAAAGATATTTATTTGACATGACAAACACCTTGACATTTCAGAGAGTAGAAACTGCATTTACATACATTTTCCGCATTTTGAAACGCTTATTAAGCCAATATTATCTGGCTTATCGATTATTCGACCAACCGTTAGAGCTCTAAATGTGCCTGTGGACAGTGGCAGTAAAACACCAGTTATACAAATTATATTTGTATTTGAGTTATTCAAAGTGTATAGCACTGACTGAGGCTTTTCACATGACATGATGGCAGAACGTTACCACAAGAGTGACAGGTATGACGTAAACACCAATCCATTTTCGGTCACGGCAGTTGATTGAATGATGACTATATTAACGTTAAAATTCATTTTTAGGTTGAATTGTACACAAGAGTTACTAACCTCTAGTTTGTGGTTCAGTTGAAACACCGTCTGGGTTTTGTGACAGAGCTGAGCAAAGCAGGAGCTCAGGCTGGTCATCTTCTGCCGACCCTCGTACGTAATATCGACTTGATCTGGGTCTATTTCTCCGAGCAACAGATCCACGTCCACAAAGGCCTTGTCAAACTCTTTCTCCAGCACTTCTAGCCAGCGAAACATGGTCATCCCGGAGCCGAGGCCCGAGCTCTGACCCACCGGGGAGCATCCAGCCGAGGCGGACATAGCGAGAGCAAAACAGAGCTAACGTTAGCTTAAGAGCGAACTCTGAGTGTTATTAACCTTAAATGACCCTCCTCTCTGTTGACCACTGCGAGATAACACAGTCGAAATAACGTTGGAACCCAATGGCTAGATTGTGTATTGGGTTAGCGAAGAGAAGTCTGACAAATAGCGTTTTCTGGTTCTCGGGAAAAGCTCTTCCTGACCAAGAAGTTCCAACCAACTCAGGCTGTGATGCAACTACTACTGTCTGCCTCTTTGAAAGGAAAAGTAGTGGATGTCAGATTGAGCTCCTGTCAGCACTAAACCAATCCATGGGAAACCACGGTTCCGTAGAGCCCCCTACTGGAGGAATACTGGAGAATGACTGATGTGAAAATTGCCTGCACTGGTAATTTCAACAGTATTTTCAAAATAAGAGAAAATATCGAAAATACCGATAGATTCTCAAATTATTGAACTCAACTTCACACATTAATGGGCATCTTCAACACTTTGGGCTGCATCTTGCATGAAAGGTGCGTTTATTATCATTACAGGCTACAAATTGGGCAGCAGGTATCTCTGGTCCACTTTTTCATCTAATGGTTACAGCCATTATTTAATGATTATCAATAAAATAATCTAAAAACACGAATGTGTTATTAAAGTGATTCAAAATAATGTCATACTTAAATAATATCCAGATTATATTTTGTATTATTTGATATTGTTTTAATATAATTGTTGATAAGTGTTAAATGGTGTTTTTATAGATAAAAAGTATAGGAAGTTTATTAGAAAATAAAAATATACATTTTCAAGGCTGATGTTATGACATGCAGGATTCAATGCTACTTTATACATCATGCATAAGACAGTGTCAAAACATGGTGACACTTCATTATAATATTTGAATGAAACAGGTATCTACAGTATACGTTATTTTTCTATTTTTTTCTATTTTAGTACCAAGCTCCTCCAACAATACACACAATATATAAGACAATAAAACTTAAGATAGTGCAAAATGAAACAGTATATAATCAAATAGTGCATGTTATGTTGCGAGACCAATGTGCAATGTATGCAGATGAAGTAAACTACACGATTGCCCATAAAGTTAGAATCATTTAGTTTTCAGACACTTTCCTCTTTGTATTCCTTTTTACACACACAATCGTTTCAGAGGTCAAAAATATATTTTTCCAGCATTATTGGCAAGAGTGTATTAACATGTCGGAATAAAAAATACAATACGCTTAATGTTGCAGAGAATGTTGTAAGTGACTGACCAAGTACATTCAGGAGTCTGTATCGGATAAGTCGAATAAGATAGACAAGGACATAATGTAATTATGACAATTAAATATTGTAAGGTGAAAAATAAAGAAATACATTTCACGATTCAAGCAGATGAATGCTTTATGGAACTTGAATTAAATGAAATTATTGTAATTAAATACAATAACATTTAATTAAAAATAATACATATTTGTAATATGAGAAAGTGGTCTTTCACATGATACATGCTCCGGTCTGTCCACTGGGTGGTGTCATAGTTAGTTTGCAGTCTGCCTTTAAAACAAAAGAAGAAGAATGCAGCGAACCACAGCTGCGCGCGCGATACAAGTGGTTTGTTTACATCGGTGAAGGAATGAGGAGCTCTACGCAAACATGTCCTTGTAAAATACGGTTTGTGAACTTTTCTGTTTGTATTCAATAATGTTGCCCATATTGAGCTCAAGTTTTTACCTCAAAGAGTCTGCGTGGCTAACCTAAATACGTTTAACTGCTCCATTCCTAAACTTACGTTACGTGTTTGTATCACAGGTTGTCCTAATAAAAATTGTGCGCACTGCACTATTCTTTAATTAGACCCTTCAGATAAGGTGCGCATCATTATTTACAATGAAAGATCAAAGAAACCTTTAACACTATTAAATGTTGGACATTTTAATCTGTTTATTATCCTT